GGGGGCGCGGGGGCTCCCCGCTTTCCCTGGTGCTGGTGTTGGGGACACAGGAGGATGCGATTCACCGGGAAAAGATGCCGACGACAAGCTCGGTGAGGGCTCCGTTCGGGAGCTTGGAGTGAGGGTGTCCAGGAGACTCATTTGCAAAAACGGGGGGCCGCTCATACGTCATTTGCAAAATGGGGTGCCGCTCATATGTCATTTGCAAAAACGGGGTGCTGCTGATACGTGTGTTGTGCTGTTGATCTTGGTCGCCTGTGCACACACCCTGGTCCAGCGGAGACCGCTCATATGTATTTGGAAAAACGGGGGGCCTCTCATACGTCACTTGAAAAAACGGGGGCCGCTTATATGTCATTTGCAAAAACGGGGGGCCGCTTATATGTCACTTGCAAAAACGAGGGGCTGCTTATTCGTCTGTTGTGCTGTTGGTCAAGGTCGTCTGCGTACACACCTGGTTCAGGGGAGATGGCTCCTATGTCATCTGCCAAAAATGGGGGGCTGCTTATATGTCACTTGCAAAATGGGGTGCCGTTTACATGTCTGTTGTGCTGTTGGTCAAGGTCGTCTGTGCACACATCCTGGTCCAGGGGAGACCGCTCCTACCTCATTTCCAAAAACTGGGGGCCGCTTATACATCATTTGCAAAAACGAGGGGCCGCTTATATGTCACTTGCAAAAACGGGGGGCTGCTTATACGTCTGTTGTGCTATTGGTCAAGGTCGTCTGCAAGGTTGTCTGTGCACGCACCCTGGTCCAGGGGAGACCGCTCCTACCTCATTTCCAAAAACGGGGGGCCACTTATACATCATTTGCAAAAACGGGGGGCCGCTTATACATCACTTGCAAAAATGGGGGGCTCTGTTCTTCTTGCAGCTGACCAGAGTGAGATGAACATGGAGAACCACAGCAGCAAGGCCGAGCCCCCCGGTGAGAAGACGCTGGACGTCCAGCTGGGCCCCTCCTCGTGGGGCCACGGGCTTGGGGGTGCCCCGAGGTCTCGAGGGATTCGTGGGGGTGGGCGATTGGGGGTGCGGGGGGCAGAGATGCGTCTTTGCGTGGATCTTGGAGAAGAGGTGGGCGGGCTGGGCCGGACTGACCAGCAGGGGGAGTCTGAGGCTTGTCCTTTCCCTTGGGGGTGCGTTGTGAGCCCAGTTAGATGAAACAGAAAGAGGGGGGCCCCCTTGTGGAGGGTTAGGGGCGTTGGGGGGTCTGGGGATGCCCTGTGGAACCTCTCCTGTCTCTGCCCTTGACAGTTCAGCAGACGCTTCTGGAGAAGTAGGACGAGGGCAGCAGAGAGAGCCCCCGGGTCCAGAGTGGGGACCCCCCC